TTGAAGTTTTAGCTGAAATTTGGTATGGGTAAACTAGACTTAATGAAGAAGATGCTAAAAAAAATTGCATCAACAAATTTCACCGGGAACCGCCCCAATTGGCGACGGCCGGGCAGAACGTCCTATATAAGGGGCTAATTGAACACTTTAAGTTAGTTCATGTACCTATTTGACTCTTTAGCCGAGACAAATTTAATGAATCAAATTAAAGTAAATAGAAAAAATATGAGGAATTCATTAATGTTAAATATAATAAATTAATATGAAAGCGGAGAGTATACTTTTTAAGATAACATTAAGATCCATCCCACATTGTATTAGATAATTGTAAAAATCTTATAGGAATATTATGACAGTGTTACAAATATTTATAGTGGTTGTTTGATCGTAGAAAAAATTTGCAATCTTAAATATATTTGAACAATTGTATTAATTAATAGGAAAAATATTCCTAAATAAGAGTAAAAATATTATGGAATTTCAAAATAGGACTATCCTGTTTCAAACATGACAATACTTTCAAACGCAGCAGTACTTACTTCTATTTAGGGAATAAAAATGTGATTCTATTTTATAATTCTAAAACTCTTTTATTCCTATTTTCGAGAATTCTCTCAAACGAATGATACAAAATGAAACAAAAAGTATTTGATCATAACAAAATGAATGGAATGTTTTTTTAACTATGAATGGGATGTTATGAATGATGAACTCATTTTGACAAAAAAAACTTTTTTTAAAGGAGAACGCTTAACTATTATTAATAAAATTCCCAAAACACTAAAAATGGGACCACGATACAAAAATTCTCTTCACCGTACCTAACTCCAAGAAAATCAAATGGTCCCCTTATTCTCTATCTATGCGTAAAAGTGTCCACCCTATACAAGTTTACGTTCTCAACCTCGCCCAAAAAAAATACAGTACAAGTTATATCTAAATAAAAATATGATGTATCAAAAAGAAAATTAGTACATAAAATCGCAGGTGACCAAATTCACATATGTTATTATTTTAAATAACGTTTGCCTTGTGGACGTAGGTTTTTATGTTCTGGACGCTATTTTTTACTCCATAATTTGAATGTTCTTAGTTCAGAAATGTGATTGAAATTTTACAGTAGTTCGGTGACCTTTTTTGTCTAGTGTTTGTATCCACTCATGGTTCAATGGTAGAGACGTTTTAGTATTTCACATGTTCTAAATAAAAAATATTTGCTGTACACAAATCATATTAAAAATGAGATAAATTGAATAAAGCAGAGAAAACTTCATGTCAGGCCGGCCTGACGGGCTGCCCCGTCCGGCCGAGCCCGTTTGGGCACCTTCCCGGTGGAATTTTTTGATGAAATTTTTTGAGCATGTTCCTAATCAAGTCTAGTTTGTGCATACCAAATTTCAGCTAAAAATTCAATCGGGAAGGTCGTCAAATGATTTTTGCAAGTTAACTGGTCCGGAAAATACATATTCCGGACCAGTTAACTTGCAAAAATCATTTGACGACCTTCCCGATCGAATTTTGAGCTGAAATTTGGTATGGACAAACTAGACTTGATGAGCAACATGCTCAAAAAATTTCATCAAAAAATTCCACCGGGAAGGTGCCCAAACGGGCTCGGCCGGACGGGGCAGCCCGTCAGGCCGGCCTGATGAGAAGAGCCCTCGAATAAAGCATACGTTAAGTTTTTAAATACAAACATATCTAAAATTCATCGCAGACTTATACGTGCATCTCGATCTATTGGCCTAATGACATCATTCCAATCAAGGCTATCATATACGGAATACTTTTTTTATAATATAGCTAAATTGGATTCCGTAATTGAGAGAACACGCATGAAAAATGTTAATTGCATGATTAACTGATACTTCAAAAGAGACGTATTTGAATTTTGAATTCACGGGAAAGACACCCCATAATTAAACCATGACGAGAGATTAAATGCGGTAAATATGCTTTGAGCAAGGTCCTCCTCAACACAGAGTAAGATAGACGGTAACGATTACATACAGATTATACGGATACCGTACCCCCATCTGTGTCACCAGCAGGGGCGGACCCAGAAAATTAATCTTGTCGGGGCCATTATTTAAACAAAAAAATTATAGGCGCTCGCTATTATAAGTTAATATGATCTTTATAAAATAGTAATAAAATGAAGCATTAAAATAATACACAATAGGCAAAAATAGAAGAAGAGACAAATATATTATTACAAAAGAAAACAGTTGGTACCTTAGAATTGTGACCGATGCTCCTTCAACGAGATAAATTCCTCAATCACGACTTTTGAATCAAAACTTTTAGCAATTTCTCTTTCGATATAAACAATAAGGTTGAATAAAAAAAATCGTATATATATATATATATATATACACTATTTTTTTGTTGTTGCAGGGGCCATGGCCCTCCTGGGTCTCTTCTACGGTCCGCCCCTGGTCACCAGACTGACCACTCACCCGGACACTTAGGATGTTTTCTTTTGGACTGAAATTTGCTGGTCTAGTCTGGTCTGGTCTGGTCTGGTCTGGTCTGAACTGGTCTGGTAAACGTCTGGTCTCTGTGTACTTTATAACTACGGAAGTCTGGACTAGTCTGGTCTGGCCTGGTCTGGTCTGTTTAAGTCTGATCTGATCTGGTTTGGGACTGAAAACAGTAAAAAAGAAAACATCCTTAATTATGATGATCAGCGCCGGCTCTAGCGCATTGTAGGTCCTAGGCGGAAAAGTTTTAAGGTCACATATCATATTATTAAGGTGATTTCCATAAGACTACATGAGTGTTTGTTATTGCTTTTACATTAAAAAAGTTATTATTCAATGTGATTTTTGAGAAAGTGCATAAGAAGTGAAGTTATTAGTGTTTGAGAAAAATGTGATTTCTGAAAAAGTAAAAGTTAGTAGTATTTGTTCGAGGGCCTATTTGACCCTTTTCCCTTTGTTAAATAAGTGTTTTTTATGTAATAAAAAAGTGAAAAGCAGTTTCAAGCACCCTCCAATCTGCTTCCAGCTTTTGACTTTTAAGTGATTAATATAAGTAGAATTTATCATTTCAAAACAATCTTTAGTTTTTTAAGTGATTAATATAAGTAGAATTTAAAAACACTTTTTTTACAAACAATACCTATAACCAGTGGTGATAAAAGAACAAGAGAAATGTATAATACGTAGTATATAAAATGGTCTAAAAAGTGTATTTCTAAATAAGCATTTCACCTTGCCTTTTGAAGTGCAAAACTAGCTAATACCTTTTTTCTCAATAGATAACATAGCTAATCCATATATTTAGCATATTTATACAATTATACATATAATAAATAGAAAATTCGGCATTAACAAATCAAACTTAACTATTACAGTTATAATTATAAATATTAGTCACCAACTAACTAAATGATTAATAGGAATACAATCATAAAAAAATTGTGCAAAACGATTAACAGTAATTATTAAATAACAATCATTTTTTAGTTATTAATTTAAAAAGGGCATATGATGAAAAATGAAAAACGGAGAATGATATAAGGAGTATAATTTTTCTGACAGAGGACAACAATGCTGCTATCATCTACGGAGTATTATCTACCACAAAAATAATAAAATAATGTAGAAAGGTCCATATGATATCTTCGAGAAAGGTCCAAATTCTCAAATCTCATACCAGTGTTCAAATTCTGAAATTCCCTACTCTTGAAAGGCCGGGAGAACTAATTAATTAAGAATAGTGTGAAATATTCAAAGAAACTAATTCTTTAATTGACTTGATAGTCAATCAAACTAGCAGGACAATTGGCCAAGGCTTTACTAGTTGATCGACCACTTGATAGTGTGAGGACTCGTTTAAGTGATTTGGCCGTCCAAAACCTCACGGAGTACTCCATATTACAATGTCTATTAAAAAAATGAGGCCCCAAAAAATCAGAGGCCCTAGACAAAATGATGTAAATTGAATTTTAATTTCATATCGATAAATAATGTAAATTGAATTTTAATTTCATATCGATAAATACAAAATATAGCTTTATGATCACATTACAAATGACGACCAGGAATTCAAGGGGCCCTTTATCACTAACCACAAAACATGCAAATCACCATGCTTCTAACAAAGCAAGACTCGTGAATAAATATTAAGCTTGATATATGCTTATTACATGGGTTTTTAATTCTAGCGCTTGAATTGGCAAAAAACCATAGAGTACGTCAAAACGATTACATGGGAGAAGGCCGCAGTCAGAAACGATTAAACAAAGCTTTCATTTGTTACATTTTTAATTTGCTTACTTTTTACGAGTATGAAATACGGAGTACGTATTAACTATAGAAAAACAACTACTCCGTTAATAAAAAAACAAATGGAATATTTTAAAGAAAATAAAATAAGAATTAAAATACTACTCTGCATTTGACCAACAAACACTAACTAACGATCGATTCTGAAAATTAGCGATATTCGGGTGTTTGGCAATTAGCAATACTGGAAAGCTACAAACTATATATATGATCAAGAATTCAATATGCTTTTTTAAGGATTTTTTAATTGGTTTGGTTTTAGTGTCTGACCAGATTAGATTAGAATAAACTTAAAGAAACTAGATCAGACTTCGACCGTTGTAGAACACACATACACATACAAAATCATATCAGATCTAGGCATTCCCGGGCCGGGCCTGACCGGACTTTTTTGGGGAAAGTTGAGGCCCGGAACCGGCCCAGTTATCCACCGGGTCCAGGCTGGGCCGGGCCGGTTCCTATTTTGGCTGACTCGGGCCCGCCCTATGTAACCCCCGGCCCAGGCCTACCCGGACCGATCTCTGATCGGGACACCGGGCCGGTTCCAAACAGTGCCAGGCCGGGCCACGGGCCGGTCAACCCGAAACCGGTCCATCCCTAATCAGATCCGACCACAAATATTTAGTCCAATGAAAAACATCCTATGTAGGAACATATTTTAAAATCTTACTCTATTTACCATGGGTCCAAATGCTATAAATACCTACCGGACATGGAAATTAGTCAGGCTAACTAAACACATATCCGACAATTCTTCTCTTCCAGTCTTGCTCCTAAGAGTAAATTGGCGACATTCAATTCCTTTTTTCTTTTAATGACAATTTAAAACTTGTCTAATGACTCTAATGTAGATGAATAGAATTACTTCTGCAGTTTTCTTGTGCATGCCAATTTAAAACTATATTCGTACTAATATCCATCATAAAACTTTATTTTTTTAATCCCATTACATATTAGCAACTTTTTTCAACTATTAATGTAATGTTGAAACTTTTAGGTAGTTGAGATAAAACAATGGAGGTGGAGCAGGAAATGGAATGGAAGTTGGCACAGAAGGTTGTGATAAGTGTAGACCTTGTCGCGGCAGCAAAACAACAACTTGATTTTCTTGCCGCCGTTGACCGGAACCGCTGGCTGTATGAAGGTCCTGCTCTTCTTAAGGCAATCTGTAGGTATGTATACTTATAATAGTCATCAAATGGGTTATTTATTGGGGCTAAGGACTTTTCTTTGGCCTTTTTTGTTGATTTGACTTGTCCATTTTCAGGTACTATAAATGTTGGCTTCCATTGGTGGCAAAACATTCTACCTCACCCTTCTTTGAAGGGCCTCTGGTTGTCCCTCTTGACTGTGAATGGGTCTGGCACTGTCACAGGCTCAACCCTGTAGGTTCCAAAAAATAATCTCGTTAATCATTTAATTTCTTAAAAATGACATAAAATATTTCATGGTCATCAATGCTTAAACTTAGTCTTGACATTTCACTTTACTAGGAAGTGATAGTGATGGTATTTCATATGGATTCAAGAGACAATGTAGTTTTATTTTTGATGATGTGTTACGTGCAGTGGCGGAGCCACTATGATGCAAAAGTGTTCAATTGAACACCTAATATTTTGAAAAACATACTAGTATATATGTATAAATTTAATTTAATTATTTTTTGTCCTTTCAAATTTTAATTCTTCAAAAAAATGAAAACCCAAAACTTGAAACATAAATCCGCCACTGGTTACGTGTTTAGTAAAGACAAACCTTGATTAGTAATATTGTATTGGGGACGTAATTCAGCTGGGGGAAGAGGGTGTCATAAGGGTTGTATCGGGGATGTAGCTCAGCTAGTGGGAAGAGGGTGTCATAAGGGAGGTGACAGAGGTTTGACTTCAAACAAAAACTTGGACTGAAACCTACTCTCTATCCCGGGACCTTGAGCGAGGGGTGTCATCCTTTTTTATCTGTAATATTTTTTGTCTTTTATGTTTGCAGGTTCAGTACGACTATGACTGCAAGCAACTATATGGAAAAATCATTGACAACCATAATGTTGCATCGTCAACTACAGGAACATGTAAAGGGAAAACAGAACAAGTATGGAAGCAATTAAACCAAAGCGAGCCATATGAGTTGGACTTGGCAGGTGCTCTTTCTGATGGTGACCATTCAAGAATGTCTGATAAGCTCATAAACTGCAGCAGCAACTACGACTTGGTTTCAGCAGTTAAAAGGCAACGTTCATTTTTCTACCAGGTAGTTAGTTAGATATGGGATACTAAAATTTTGGCTTTGGATACATACTCGATACGGGATAAATTAACAATCTTTTTTTACAGGTATCACGACCTCACATGAGCAGTGACCTGTATCTCGAAGGGGCAGTGGCCAGATACAAGGGATTCCTGCATTTAATCAAAAGAAACAAAGAAAGATCCATTAGATGCTTCTGTGTTCCAACTTACGACATTGACCTGATATGGCACACTCATCAATTACACCCCGTTTCTTACTGCAAAGACCTTGTGGAACTCATTGGCATGGTTTTAGAGCACGATGATACTGATTCGGACAGGACAAAGGGGAATAAACTGGACACTGGCTTCTCTAACACCATCAAGCATTGGGAAGAAACGTACGGGCGTAGATATTGGAGAGCAGGCGCAATGTACCGAGGTGATGCACCATTACCTCTTCCTGTTTCTCGTAATGAGTCTCCTCTCAGCACTACTGTCACCAAGCAAGTAGTTTTGCCCCACAAGAAGTATCAGACACAATTGCATCTTCCTGAAAAGAAGGTTCTTGAGGTAGTTTATTCTTTTCTTCCCCATTTTGTTTCTTTTGTTCAGATAAAATGCTTGTGTATGCAATTTTAAAAAAGAAGAGATACTTCAATACCTCAGTAAAGTGTCGAACTATTATAAAAAAGTTAGCCCAATTTGTAGCCATTATGTAAGATTAAAGTTTAATCTTACATTGAAAGAAATATGAAACTTGTGAAATATATTAAACTACATAAAAAAATATGAAACCTCAAATCTTAATAATATATTGAAGTTTTATAGGCATGATGTGGCCCTTATGAGAATTTGCACAATGATTGTGAGCGGTATGTGCCTTTACAAGAAAATAGCAAGCCTGGTTACCCCATTTAGCAAGTTAACTTTTTAGATTGGGATCTCAATATCAATGTGTTATAAAGATCAATTAAACTAAAATGAGAACCTACTTCCATTAAAACTCGCATAGAGCACACCAATTTCACGTTATTTGCTCTAATGAGCCACTAACATATGTGCCCATGTTAAGCAATCTCATACTAGGTTAAATACGTATAAAAGACCTCCCACTACTCTTCTTATAAGATTCCTTTTTTAGGATGAAACTCTAATATAGTATTATCTTAGCATGCAATTGTATTTTTTCTTGTTTAACGTGTTTGATGTGGGAAGGAGTTAATATACAATTGTATTTTTATCTTTTATACCTTTCAGGTAATGTTGGAGTTTTTGGGTTTGAAAAATTTGCCAGAGCAGCATACAGGGAACCTCTTTGTCTCATTCAGTAAACAACAGCCTGATGGAATCTTCAGTCCAAAGAGAAGACTTGGGATTCGGTCTGAGAGTGGCAAAAAGCAGGTTGCTTTATTTCAATGTGAAGCTAGTGGGAATTTGTTCTTTGAACTTATGAGCCAAGCCAAAACTATGGGTTCTGCTTTTGTTTCTCTGGAAGAGTTGCTATCCCCAACAGCTAATCTCTCTATGGAGAAATGGCTCGAACTGATTCCACATTCTAAGCTAGAAATGTCCAAGCCTGTCTTTTTGAGGGTTGCAATCTCAGTTACAACACCGACTTCTGCACCATATGTTCTTCACATGGTTCGTTCTTCGAATGGTTCTTCCCTTTTCCCTCTCCATGTGAAGGATAAAGATTGGACACAAATCATAGATGAAGACGGTGATGAGATCATGAGCCTGCAAATGAGGTACTTGTGCATGTTGAGTTTCAACAATTAATTAATTTTTCCACTAATGCCAATCTAGAACCATGACTGCACTTCAATGTTACAACCTGAGTTTACCTTGTCGTTAGCAGATATATATATCAATATCATAATATGCACATCATCGAAGGTTAACATATATAACAATGCAAACCAACTTCTATGCTTGAGGGAAAATTTTCCATGAAGTTGACTTTTTAAGGAATACCAAATCATAATCTAATATGCAATTCTAAACTCTATTTGATATACTGCCATGCTTTGTTTGGTAGGAATAGTGTACTCATAAAATTGTACGGTTTTACTTCATATGATTTTATTACAGGGATTTCAATGAATGCAATGGAACGCCAGATTATTTTTTAAGGCAAGAAGTCATTGCTGTAACAAAATCTGGCGAAACACAAACTCTTGCTCAACTCAGGGGGACAGAATGGTCACTGATAGATGCTGAGTTGTCCATTTGTTTTCAACAAAACAGAGATGGTGATGATGATGGTCACCTTTTGAAGTTGACTGGTCCGCAAACTGTGAGTATTTGCGCTGCATTTTGCAATCTATTTGTCTTTGCTTCTTTTACAATTCATTCGTCTATCTTGTGTACTCTAAAGTGTGCTAAATTTATTAATATATTTTCTATTGAAAGTCTATATTGTTGAAACAGGTTAAGTATTTCCCTGGTCGGAAGCTGGACTACCAACCTAGGTATCATGAGAAGCAAAGAAGTGAAAATGAATTTCTCACTGCAGTAGAGTATTCAGCAGAAAATCCATATGGCAAGGCAGTGGGAATGTTTGACTTGAAATTTGGTGTTATCCATGTATACATATTGCTTTTTCATTTTTTGTTCTGAGGTTGAGGTTTTAGTTATTTTAGCTCCACTTATGATGTTTGTTTAATTTTGACACATTACCAGGTGAAAGAGGAGTGGTCAGTTTTACCAGGAGCAATAATCGCTTTTATACTTTGTGACATTTTGGGGAAGAAAGGTTATGGTAGCTTTTCAAACCAAGATGTTTTGTATGATGCCAACAGCAATAAAATAGTGTGTGTGGACGGTGGTGTGAAAATTGGTGGTTGTGGCGGTGGAGGCTGTGGCAGTGGCGGAGGATGTGGTGGTGGTGGAGGTTGTGGTAGTGGTGGAGGCTGTGGCGGTGGTGGAGGCTGTGGTGGTGGTGGAAGCTGTGGTGGTGGAGGTGGTTGTGGTGATTGTGACATCAAAAGCAGTGGCTGTGGCGGCGGTTGCGGTGGTGGTGGTAGATGTTGTGGTGGTGGTGGCCACTGTGGCGGCGGCGGTGGTTCTGGTGAAAATGTCAATGGATTGGAGTTGAAACATGAAACTTATGGTAGATATAGTTGCGGTACCGGTGGCACTTGTGGCCGTTGCGGGGTTGATGGTTAAGGGGGGAACTGCCTAAACAACCAAAATATTGCAGTGGTGCTTGTAAGCAAACCAATAAAAGCCTATGATATGCTACATACATGGCTATATATCATTTATGTATGAAAATAATAAAGCTTCTAAATCTATGTATGCCTAGTAACTATACATCACAAGAATAAACCTAAATGTAAAGATGTAAAGTGTTCAAATATGTGAGTTTCCTTTATCTTCATTGTTTCTTTGTCTGCTCTTTGATGTCACAAAGCCATTTCAAATTTTCAATCACAACAACTCTCCTAACTTTATGTATTTGTTAACGCTCTGTCCTTTTTATTCTTTTACTACTTATATGCTCATCAGTAATGTTAGCTGCAGAATATGCTTTTTACAGAACACCAATCCAGATAATTACAGAAAAATGTAAGAAAAACATACAGTATAAAATATGGAGTAATTGTCACTCATTGAATATTGTACACAAAACAAACACCTTTAATTCTTTAATTAATTAACAAAGAATAGGAATCACGGGGATTCCACAAACTCAAAAGGCAAAAGTAATAAACCAATAATATAAATACCCACTAGTTGTATCTACTTACAAAGTACCCTCTCATGGAGAAAACACTTGGAAAACAGTAAAATGGCGGAGAACCCAAAATAGAGTGATTGTAGAAACCTTTAGGCAATAGGTTGATCCACATTGATCGGGTGATTCAGCTTTTCCCCAGTAGACTGATTGTGCTCCAGAACAGAAACAGATGGCATCCTCGGGATAACATTGTAAATCGGGGTTTCCCGGTTTTGATCACCGCCGGCCACCACACCGAACCGCCCCAGGTTCCCGGTGTGATACCCTCCGGCCAATATGGGCAACCCATATACCATTTTCAACCCATTCGGATACACTACCCCACTGGTCACGTGGGGTTCGGGCAACCCTTGGAGGTGTGGTGGGAGATAACTCTGCAGGACCATCAGCTTGTTTGTACCCGACCCGAAGTTCCCGGGCACAACACCATTTTTTTCCTTTTGGGGTTTCGGGGCTAGACTCTCTGGTACAGAGATTCCAGGGATTTGCAATTGGAGAGGGTCGTGTTTAGTTGGCGTGATGCTGGGCTGGTAATCCTTATCAAATCCGAACAGGAAATCCGGGTTCAGCGGGGGCTCCGATTCGGGTTTCACATGGCGATTCGGGTTGAACAGGAACAGCCTCAGACGGGCCGGCTTGGCGGAAACCCTATGCATGCGGTCGTACTCAACCATCATCTGCTCCACGTCGTCGTCGTCGATCAGGGAGACCAGAGCATCCAGATCCTCGCCGGGCAACTGATACTTCATACACAGCTCTCCATTATCGCCGCAATTGCAGAGAGCGCTAAGCTTCGAGAAAATCTCTGAAAACCTGATTTTGCGATCGACGGTCAGGATTTTGGTGTCGCCGCCGACGTAGGCAAGCTGATTGTCCCGCTGCCGCTGCTGAATCTTGCCGCCGTAACTGCACATCAGCTTCACTTTACACTTAGAAGCTTCACCATTGCCTCCGCCGCCGCCGCAATTGGTACTCCGGTGATTCTCCATCCGCGACCCTAACACAAGCCGAAACAGAGGAATTGCAAAAGCCCAGTTCACTTCAAATCGCGATGTCTCGATCAATTTCGGTTGGGATTTCGTATTTTAAAATTAACCTTTTTCGACGACTCCTAGGCGGTTAATTCTGGAGTACTGTATAGAGCACCGCAAGTAATATAGTGCCTGCGGATGAGTGAATTGGGGTCGTCGATCTCAGTAGAGATGGCGTGTAAGGTCCATAATTTCAGTTTTTGCGCGTATGTCGTTTCGTGGGGGCGGATTGCTAAAATATAAGGAGGAGAAACACTTCCTCATAACGTTCTTCTTAATATTAATAGAAACAATATTTTAATCTTAATATAATAATGAGAATATTACCTTAAATAGGATTACAAAAGTATGAAAATTCCATTATTCTCAAAACAGAACTAATTACTGTCATATTTTGGTAGTTTTAGACTTCAAACATGGCAGTATTTTCCAAACTTGACAATAATTACTCCTATTTTGGGAATAAAAAACATAAGTCCTATTTTGGAATTTTCAAACTGTTGTAGTCCTATTGCGGGAACTTTCGTGATAATAATAAGTCATTTTTTCTAAAATATTATTATGAGAAAGCTTATGGATAAAAATGGAGCAAGTTATTATATAAATATTTATGGTTAGCTTTGAATATAATTATAATCACTAAGATTTAATAAATTGCATTTTGATCTAATATTCTTATATTGATCATCAATCATAAATTACTTCTAGTAATAATAGTGCTCTTCCTCAGTAAAAGATATTTCTCCAAAATGACTTCACAAATATACTCTTTTTTCTCAAAATAGAGTTCTTTATGCCCAATAATAAAACAAATTAAAATGAGTTACAAATTGAAAAGTATAAATGAGATTCGTTTAATTAAAAATAATAGTGATAGTATGAGGTGTGTTTGTTATATTTTGAAATATTTTCTACTTTTTCCTTCAACATTACTAAATTAATACTCATTACCAATATGTTAATATACGTAGTATAATATAGTCCATGCTACTTATTGATCATATTTCGAGTTTGCGCAAATGAATGTGAATTCATTATATTTATCCTTCAATTTCCGAGAAATCGACTAAAGGGACAATAAGAAATTAGTAAACTACGTAGGAGTATTCATGTAAAATATATCAGTAACCATTAATCAAACAAAGCTCGAAACGTGCATTGATATCATCGTAGGAAAATATCTCATATATAAATCATTTTCAAAACTGCCTGGTCAACAGAAGGTGCATCGATCTTCGTGTTTCCGTTTCGAACTTGGGCGGTTTATAATTTGAGACTTGGATTGCAAAACCCGTTCAAAGTAATTCTTGGAAAAATGTCACAACATGCGGTTTGAATGGACTGCATGTGCTTATATGGAAGAGATGGGAGGAACGTTGCCACAGTGTGTTGATGACGGTCATGCCATGCCATATTTGGCATTGTCGACCGTTACATTCTATACTTGGTAAACAAATCTCACATTTCAAATGTGAACGACTATTTCGACCTAAATAAAAGATTATATTAAAGCTCAAATCTTTATATATTCATTAAGAAATGATTTCTCACCTTAACTAAAGATTTGATAAGCCAATAAATACCCTACAACCCTTTACATTTCACATTGGAAACGCTTTTACACTTTCATACTTGATACTTTTACATTTAAATATGTCTATCACAAGCAGGAGTGCAGTGTTGAGATTAAAAAAGTCAAGGGGTAGTTAAGCGAAGACGATTAGCCATCATTTTCACATCTACCTTCATTAAAAGATACTTCACTCATTATTGAGTCTGACTTAATCTATTGTATACTTTTACATCTCTAGATTTCGACTGTAATTGTTTACATAGTGATAGACTATATATAGGCTCGCACCCAAAACTTATATAATCTTGGACACTCAGACGGCCCAAGGATTTACCGTAGACAGAAGGCCCATTTAGAGAGCCCAGCCCACAAGGAAGAGGCGGACTTTCTGTATGAAGCCCTCGGAGGAAGGGCACATCCCTCGGCAAGACCTCGGTACCTTCGCCACCTCGTGTCTCCAGGAATTCTCTTAGTGGATTGCTTATGCATGTAAGCAGCCTGTTAGTGGCCCATTATTGTAATCGGGCCTCGCAGGCCCCAGGCCTGTGATCCCAACCCACATTCCCTCTATAAATACCCCATTTGGGGGTAGTTGTAGATGGTTCAGAAATCATTTATTACAAGTACTTTCTCTCTCTCTATATTGTAGCTCTCCCTTCTCTCTAAGCACTTCGGTGTAACCAGGAAGCTATCACATAGTATCTTAGAAAATATGGTACACTCTTGCTAGAAGTTCCTTCAAATCCACGAGAATGAAAAAGGTTGGTGCGCTTCAACTTTCAGGACAGATCGATCCCAGTGTAATCAAGGTCAAGGACATCATACACAAATCCTCTAGTGTATAGGTCATGGAGAGTCATCCCAAAATTCATAATGTTGGGGAGATTTGTGTGTAATAATTATCAAAGGTTAATGAAGCATCCAAATCCTTAGGTTGAGTGAACTTTTAGGCAAATAAGTGCATGAAAATCCTTGATGTAGAAATAGAATGTTTCATGTGTTAGCTTCTATGGCGCGCGGCCCCAAAACACTATGTGTTTTCAAGAAGAAGATGATCATAAAAAGAAATCCACAGTACAAATGACATTGTCATATAGGACACTTGAATTTAAAAAGAATTGAGGTTACTTTCTAAGATAATAACTGATGTCAATTCTCTCAATTCTCCAAAGAATATATGCACAAGATGCTTAACTAACAAACAACATAGAAGGTTTATATCAATGAAGAGCTTATGGAGAGCATCAAGGCAACTTATGTTAGTGCACTCGGATACATGAGGTCCTATCATATATACCTGCTTCAAACAATGGCAAGAGGTGAATATTAAGTTTTATCAATGGTCTTACTCGTAAGACTTTTGTTTATTTCTTACATGAAAAATCATAAGCTTCTGTTACATTGAAATATTATAAAGCTTCTTATGAAAAGATCAAGATTGGTGCATAATATGTTTTGGGACTTATAGGGATAGTAAGTTCACCTCAAATAAGGTTTAGAGAATTTTGTGAGGGCATCCATAGACAATTGACCGCATATTATACTCCTCAGTTGAACGTTGCTGATAGGAACAATAAGATCATCATGAATGTTGTATTGGTCCATTAAAATGAGAAGCAAGTTACAAAAACCTTCTAATCTAAAGCTTTGAATAGTGTGTGCATATTCATAACAGGTCTCCAACCACATCGGTTGAAAATTAAACTCCAATAGAGGCATGCAGTGGTGAGAAACCAGTGGTAGGGTATTTTCAAATATTTGAATGTATAGAAGGTGTTCAAGTACCTGATCAAATAAGAAGAAAGTTAAATGAAACGAGTAAAAAATGCATCTTTGATATAAAGCAGGAGCTCGGCTTAGAGGAAGAGAGGTTGAGGCCCCCTGTTAGTTTACCAAAGGCAGGGACGGGGTTGAGCCCACCTTCGCGGGCTGGCTTTCGTCTGGGTCTTAGTTTTACTTACTATCATTTTTTGTTATGTTTTCTAATTTGGGCCTGTTATTAGTAGAGTATTTAAATACCTAATTAGGGTTTACTTAAGTTGGGCTCGATTAGGATTTCTATTATGCGATGGGAAAGTGATCAGAAGGGTAT